TGGCGGATGGATGGACGGATGAAGTTGCGGAAATCGTATCTCTCGTTTCTGTCTCTCTCGGCCGACCCGGCGTTGCGGCACGGACTTCTTTCTTGTTGGGGGTGAGGCGGCGAGGTTTTTTTTGAGGAAAGCTGGGAGGAGAGGGGGTTTTTTGGCCCCCACTTTGAGACCGAGTAACATGGAAGTGAAAGTGAATGTGATGGACGGTGAACTCCGAGGTGTAAAGGAAGAAAACTGGGATGTGATGTGAATGTGAAAGGTTACTCGGAGTTTGTACGCGGAAATCAATGAGGGGATAATGGATTGTGGAGAGAGCAAGAAGTGGATGTGGTGGTACGTACACGACATGGCTAGAGAGGTAAGGTGGAGGTGGAGGTGGAGGAGGGGTGGTGGAGTGAAGGGTGCTACAAAATTGTTGGTGAGTTCGTCAAACTGTTTTCCCCACGATCTCCCTCCCATAACGTGCCAAATGGTTGGTTTGTTTTGTACTGGACCTTGTCCTTTTCTCTGTGCCTCTTGCTCGCATTTTCACTTGCAAAGGCTTCGGATCAAAAGGGCCTTTTTTCCTTTGGGGTTATAACAATAGTGTGTGTAGTGGCGTTTTCTCCAGCAAGTATCATTTGATGGCGTTGATATAGTACTTACACTGTTTAGTAGCTGATGCGTGTCTGTGACCACCTCCCTCCCCTCACTCCTTATCTGATGGGTGTGTGCCCGTGTGTCGGTAGTACGGAACGAGCTCCGCAAATTCAGTCTTTCTCAAATCCTTCGATTACTACCCTGAAATGTTCCATGGAAGAAGGAAAGAAACTGTGCCGCGAGAATTTAAGCGGAGAATGATGTTGTTATGCGATGATACCTTTTTTGGTAAAAAAGAGAAATACGAGTAGTGTAGCCATTCACTTGATCCCTGGAGGACGGATGGTTTGCGCGTCGTCGATCAAGAATAGGTAACGTTATGTGACTATGTGTGTAAGTACCAACGGTTTGTTGGTAGGATCAAGGGTTTTTTAATATATATCAGATAATGTATATTTCATGCTGTGTTACTGTTATTGGGATAACTAGAAAATAGTAAACAGAAATGGCAAGTCATTTTTCCAACCTCGATCATTTTTGTTGGTTACTTCTCGGAAGGTTTTTTTGAGCATATTCGGATGGACGAGAAACGGTCGGACGGTTGTTGGGTGTCCCAGAGAAATGGTACCATCACACACACACGCACACAGACACACAAGGAGTAACCCGTCATTTAACCCGGACTTTGCTTCAGCCGACACAGGAGAAGAACCCAAGCAACTGGGTACCATGGTTTTGTGTATGTGTTACTCTGCAGGATTCAGATGGTCATGTGGTTTTTTCAAAAAAAGCCGACTGGCACACAGAACCCCCAAGTACCTACTCTCGGGAATCGGATAGCTGTTTGTCTCTCTTATCTCTGTTGTGTGTGGCCAGACCCTCGGATTTTTTATTTGGTATCAAAAAATAAATGTTGAATACCGATTGGACGGTTTTCTTCTTTCCTATTTTGGGCTTATCTTTTTTTTCTTTTCTTTCCTTTTTTAAACCGCCATAAGTTGCGAGCAATAAATGCGAGGGCCTTCTGCAAAAAAAAAAAAAAAAAAAAGAAAAAAAAAAGAAGAAAAAAAAGAAGGAAAAAAATGCTCCGGTGGCGTTTTGTTGTTGGTCGACGAATCGAAAATCGTTCGACCCCCAACGAAACGGGTCCCGAACCCGGGCGAGGCAAGAGACGCTATCCGAGAGTTGCGGTGGGCTTAACAAAACTCCCTCCTCCAGTTGTTCTTGGAAATAGGGAAATGTAAAAACCGAAAGAAGGGAAAAGAACACAAAGTCCGAACGAACCGTTGATAGGAGCCAACAAACAACCAACGGGGAATTGGTTATTTGTGTACCCAACGAATTGACCAAGTTTTTTTCCCCTTTTCTTTTCCTTTTTTGAACCTGTGGATAGTTGCCACGCAATACATTACTACACAGGCGACATTGCAGGCCGAATCCATCGATATCATGCAGTATGCAGATTGAGGGGAGCACGGGGGGACTTTTTTATGTTTCAGAGTTCTCAAAAGGTAGTTAGCGAATTCCTTTTTCCCAATCCTTTGGGAATCACACCGCTTTAGCGTGTATTTTCCGTCGGCGAGTTTCTCTTTTCCCGTCTTGTCTTGTCTTCTTGCGCAGTGCCAATGATCTGTGCACACAGTGATCCTGTCTCTCGGAACGACCCCCTGAGTCTGTCTTGTCTCTCAAAATAATTGAATTACCGTTGGGGTGGTTCGGCCATTCGACCCTAAAGACAAAGTCCGAGAGAAGAGACAAGAGAGAACTCCGCAGACCAGGTGTCGATGATCTGTGTTGTGTGTGGTGTGTTATGGTGTGTGGGGGTTAGCGTTTAACAGGGGAAAGGATAAACACCGAATACGCTAGGAGTTAAAAAAAAATCGGTTTAAGGTGATGATGGCGATCAGAACCTTGACTAGGGGAAAGAGAGGCGACGTGGATTGCGGATTTGGGGTATGGAGTTTTTTTTGTTGTTGAACAAACGGACGAAAGACGACCAACGGATGATAAACAGGGGTTGGTTTGGTTTTCGATAGATGGTGAAAAAACCAAAATGGCAATTTACTGAAACATCAAAAACGGTGGTGGGTTTTGGGGAATACCTTTCTTCAATGTGTACCTGGTACTTTGGGTGGGTATGGAGGAGTGTGTTTAACGAGAAGGAGAAGGATTGATGTTCAATCTTGACGGTTTGAGATACGTCAAGCATCGGAGAGTGACACACGCACAGTGGCTTGAAGAAAAGAATAAGTGATGCATAACTGGACAGCTCGTAAAAAGTGAAAGAAAAAGACAAGCTTTTTTCCCTGTTACAGTAAATCGTGATGGATGCCTTATGGGAAATGGCAATCTCACTTTTCTTACTTCTTCCCCCGCAAAATCTGACAGGATTCAAAAAGAGAAATGATGAAATCGTACCTACATTACCTTACCTTCCTTTCAGCCCTATGGACCCCATCTAACGTCTCTTGTGTGTGTGTGTGTGCCCTGTCCTGCTGAAAAAAAAAAGAGAAAACCGTTGATGGATGTGGATGTTTGATGCATGTAAGATTTTGGGAAGGGCGGTTATGTGCTTACATCTTGGGAGGTAAAGAGAGAGGCAGCCCAAGGAAATCACATGATATATAGCACTATTCTTTACCAAGCGTCAAAAAGACTTTTTATATTGAGGTCTGATCTCGGGTTTGGACCTGTGAGGTTTCACGAATTTTTGTGTTTACTTCTTGATTTTTGTTTTTGTTGATATTCGGTAGGCCTCCGGCAAATAGTGTTGATGCTTCCAAGTTCAAGTCATGGACTTGTAACAGTAAACTGACCACTCACAGGCGAAACAGAATCACATCATGGAATCACTTTCGAGGCGGCTACAGTGTTCCAGGCTCATCACGGACAAATGACTCAAATCAGACCAGAGACAACATCATACCGCGCGGTCGACAACCCCTCCCGTCAGTTTGGCCGCAGCCATGCGGTTTCTACCTTCCTAAAGTTGCTCGGCTGAACTCAGCTCAGCTTGGTGGGGGATACATTATGGTGTTTTATTGGGTCTTGGGTGAACAGTAACGAAACAATAATACGAACAAGGTGGACTCTGTGTGTGCCTGATAATCTTGGCTGAAACCACAAAAGTATGTCTGGAGAGACAATGATATACTCTTCTGGGCAAGATGCGGACAGTTGAGGACATGTTTTGAAGGAGATGACTACGTTGTGTGCCTAAGCCATGGGCAGATACTCTACTTCCAAAGGTTCCGCTTTCAGGGCTGAAGGGGACCTGGCGAGCTTAGGAACATGGACACTTTTTCTCAAGAGGTGGAATTGGTCAACCTGTTTGATTGATGTAATGGAAAGTAGGGGTGGGTGAGGAGATGGGCAAAATACCTACTTAATCTGGACAGGGGACGAGAACTTGAAGGTGATGCCAAAGTGAGTGGTTGGGTATTATTGACTGATTTCACGGAATGATAGACTGTTGTGGGTATGAAGGGGATTCAGGAGGGAAGGGGTGTGTAAGTGTTAAGTCTGGCCTGGCGTGTAGGTAGGCAATGAACCTTTGCTATTCCCCATTGTGCAGACAATACTAGTATGCAAAGACGAGCAATTCAGTAGATGGAACTAAACCATTCATCTCCCACCACTGGCTTACACTTCCTCTGTTCGTGGGAGTAAGTAACAGTGTTTATCCCCCACACCACATAATTACCACTTGAGTACCTTTCCCGAGAATATTGAAACAAGAACACTGAAACTATGGTCCAATCATCTTACCTAGATTATTCCTTGGATGCTGAGCCGCAAAGGTATCAAGAAAGGGGCCCGTCAAGTTCGACCTTCAAAGACACGTATCGGTCCGGATTGGTAGCTGGACGTGCCACATAATAACTGTCAAAGACTAACTACACCAACAGAATATCTTGAGTCAAACTTGCTACGACAGGCTCCAAGATACATAGCAACATATGTTCTTGATGAGATGACCCTTATGTTCAAGCGTGAGATATACATACCTGCCGATGTTGTATGATGGAATCGGCCAAGATACTGAAATTATCCGGCCTCGAAACCATAATGATCTACCCGGAGAGTGACTGAACTCCTTAAAGCCTACAGTCAAGTCGAGTGATCCCTTTTCCTGTAGCTTGACTAGAATGGTTAAAACGGTTGTATCATGAAACAATCCCTTGAAAATTATAATTACCCAAGTCCAAGGGCCAGAAGACCACGACGTGAAGATACGAGATCAATGATTTCTATTCTCATACTGTAATAAACATGACAGTAAGAAACCGAGCAATACAGAAAGACCGTTAGATGGTCCCGGGTACTTGGCTCATCACATCATTGAGAGGCAAAAAAAAAAAAAGCAACCAAGCCAGAAATATATATATCACTCGAACTCTCTCCCTAAAGGAGGAGGCAAATGGGCGACCCCGGAATCGAACCGGGGTTTCTTCGGTCGTTGTTTAATCGAGCTTCTTCAAACTCGAAGAACCACAACGAAGCGTCCTGACCACTAGACTAGTCACCCAGGTATGAAGGGAAAAGAGGTTGCTGAAATGACTGATCAGAATTAGAGTATATATACCAACATAACACAGCGAAAACGGAGGATATTATGTATGGTAATTCAAATTAAAGAAATGTACTTTATTATCCTTTAAGAAAAAAAAAAAAAGTAGAAATTGATTTTGCAAGAAAATAATTTACTTGCCGTGGTGCAACTTGAGTAAATAAATTTTTGGGTTGATGTAATGAATACTAAGATTTCCTACTATGAATAAGGGAGATAAAGACTAAGAACATTTCCCAAGAACAAACACCCAAGAGTGATGCTGGAGTGAATGACTGATTACTAGGTATCATTTGACTAAACCAAACGAGATAAATTAATGTTGTGAGAATCAGTAGGAGAGGAAAGAGTATTTTCGAGTCCGGCAGAAAAAAGTACCGAGTTTAGATAAAAAATGAAAGCTTTCCTATTCCCATCTCGTAAAAATATGACAGGAAAAAGGCTGAGAAATGGACATAAAAAAGGACATTGGATAGTTTTCAGTTAATGGTCCTTCTCTCGAACAAGTAGCTGCGTATCGACCTCTAGATTCCCGAGAAAAACTGCGAGACTTAGTATTTACCACCCCTTTTCCACTATCCTCAAAATCCCAACGACCCCTCTATATCACATCACCCATACAAGGAGACCATGGAATTTCATATTTATTCACCATCAATATACACCATTACTTATCCTACTATCCCCTCTCTCAACTCTTGATAGTCATCATTAACGCTAATGCCAACAATTTCCTGAATACACAAAATACACAAATAAAAGAAAACAAGACTATGGGGAAAAAAAAACCAATGCCCAAGAAAAACCAAATGCCAGTATTTTACAGAAGAACAACACACATCTCAAGTTTTTCCTCCCCCTTCCTTAGTTCATCCCCAATAAAATAAAATATTTTTTTCTTAATCTTCGTCATGTTCCATTTCCTTTCCATTTTCTGCCACTAATTCCTCAATCACTGCAATTATTCCCAGCACACGCATAAGCAAATAAACATCCGCAACCCAAAATCTCTACACATCATCAACATCACAAAAAGCTCTTCTTTACTGTCCACCACCCTGCTGTTGAGCAGCAGCATTCCCACCACCACCACCTCCTCCTCCTCTAGGCCTCTTTCCACCCCTCTCACCACCACCAACCTCTGAATCATTCCGTGGCCTCTTATTTCCCGCCCCAGGACCAGGTGTAAACTCCCCAGCATGAGGATTCATGCCTCCACCTTGGCCCCCTTGAGCACCACCGCGGAATCCACCTCTTCCCCCTCGCTGATTTTGCATTCCTCCCCTATTTGCCTGATAAACACCTCCACGTCCACCGCGGCCGGGAATACCTGATGCACCTCCTCTTGGAATACCAGTTGTTCGAACCTGAGGAGGCTGAATCTGAGAGACCTGAGCCTGCACAGGCGCTTGTCCTTGTGCTGGAGCGCCAAAGGGATTAGCGACAGCAGATTGTGCACCACCGAATGGAGCAGTTGGAATGTTTGCTGGTGCCGGTTTGGGGAGTTGCGTAGTAGCGGTAGGAGGAACAGTGACCTGTGGAGGTTGAAGTTTAGGTTTGGTCTCTTCCACCGGAGCGTTGGCAGCAGCTGGTGGTCCTGATATCGAGTTAGCACATGAATCTTGAGCCGAAAAACAAGACAGAAACATACCGGTAGTAGCCTGAGCAGGCGCTGCGGGGGCAGCGCGGGCGGGCGCCGGAGAAGGAGCCGCACTTCCAGGGGCAGATGCAGCTGGTGCGGGCGCGGGCGCGGGCGCAGGAGCAGGAGGCTTTGCATCCTTTGCAATTTCCCAGACCTCGATTACAGGGCGCTGAGGTGTCTCCTTGGCCGCCGTCTCAACAATCTGGATCTTGGCCTGTGCAGTCTTGGTCTGCCGGTCAAGCATATTAATCCGGAGCGCAGACTTCTTCTCGGCCAAAGCAGACGCTTGTTCCCTCGCACTGGATATCTTTTGTTCGTACTCGGCCTTTATTGATCCCTCGACTTCCTCCTTCACCTTTTTCGACTCATTCGCGACGAGGCGTTTAATGTTGTTTTTGACAATGCTCGAAACTACGGGATTGGTGGACACAACTTCGCGGATCTGAGCCTCAGTCATACCAGTGAAATCCAGCATGGGTGTGCCAACGACTGGTGTTGCTGGTGGTTGGTCTCCAGAAGCCTTAATCGGGGTCGCTGGCGGCGCACCGTTCGGAGCCCCAGAGGTTGCTTGTTCGGCCTTGGCAATCGCAAGCTCTTGTTGAAGCCTGAGCTTGAAGTCGGATTCCATCTTTGCCCGCTCTTCTTGTGCTTGCTTTTCCAACGCCTCCTTAGACTCAGCAAGCTTCTTGTTGAGAGCAGCCTTCATCTTATCCGAGCGCGTCTTGATGATGTTATTGTGTTGCTCTTCAAGTTCCTTGGCCTTCTGCTCGAACTCGGCAGCCTTGGCCTCCGCAGTAGCAATCTTATCCTCCAAAGCTTTGCGCTCGTCGTCCGAAAGCCCGGCGATCGGCTGTGCTGGGACCGCAGGGGTATCCTCCATTGTAACATCGCCAGAAACAGGTTGTTGGGCTACTCCTGCGTTGGCTTGAAGCCCGCTGATGGTAGCATGAGCGCTCTCCAGTTCACCCTTTAGGTTCAAAACCTCTGCCTCGGCATGTCCCTTCTCCGTCAGCGCAGCTTCAAGTTCAGCCTCCACGCTTGTGAGTCGCTGAGTAAGATAGATAACCTGTTCAGCACCTTCGGCGGTGACGATGGGTTGGGCAGGGGCAGGTGTAGTCACAGCCGCTTGCTGCTCCAAGACCTTGTTCTTTTCCATGGCATTTGCGAGCTCTTGTTTGGTTGCAACAAGCTCTTGTTCAACTGTAGCCAATCTTGCATTCACCGTCTCAAGCGTAGACTGGAGTGTACTCTTCTCGGTCGCAAAGTCGTCACGCTGGGTCCTCATAGCCTTGTAACGGCTCTTGAAGTCCTCGGCGAGCTTCTCTTTAAGGGTCTTCCATTCGTTCGTCTTCGTGTCCATTGTCACTTGGAGAGAGGCTTCAGATTCCTTCAGCGCATCACGTTCAGCCTCAAGGCTGGCGATGGCTGCCTTGAGCTGCTCAACCTCCTGTTGATCGGCCTGGCCATACTTGCTGAGAATCGACTCAATTCTCTTCTGCAGGCCATCACGAGCCTCCTGTAGCTGCTTAATCTCCTGGTCCTTGAAGGTGGCGTCAAGCTCGAGTTCAGAGATACGAGCCTCGAGGGGTTGGATTCTGGCTTGTAACTCTTCAATCTTTTTGGACTTGCGCTCCAGCTCCGTCTGCGTGCGTTGATTCTCGTTCCGAAGGGTAACGTTGCTTTCACGAATGAGATTGAGCTCGTTGAGTTTGTCCATGAGCTCCTTGTGGGTGAGGGAGCTCCTTGAGCTCTCAGCATGTGACCTGCGCTCCTGATCAAGTTTGAGGCGAGCCTCATCAAGCTGTGACTGAGAGTACTCCAGCTGCTGTTGCAAACGCTTCGATTCTTGCAGCTTGATGTCGTATTGTACTTCAAGGATCTCCTTTTCACGCCGCAAGTAGTTGTTGAGTTCCCTGAGACCTTCGGTTGCGGTGTCGGCGACCACAGATCCAGCACCATCGCCAGCACCATCGGCCATCCGATTCTGCTGAAGCGCGGATATCTGTGCTGTAACGGAATCAAGCTGCTGGTGCAGAAGCTTGTTCTGGGCTGCAGCGTCGTCTTTCCTGGCCTTGATTTCTGAAATTTCTTGTTCAAGTTGCGCCTTACGCTCCTCCCAAGATTGCTCGCTCTGTTGCAGTGAAAGTCTTGCCGACTCGGCCTCGGCCCTCCATTCCGCCGATTTCGTCTTGAGGTTGTTGAACTGATTCCGGATATCCTGCAATGCCTTGGCAGCCTCGGCGTGCTTGACAAGTTCTTGCTCGTACTCCTGCTGGGCCTTGGTGGCGATCTCGGCCTGCGCACGCAGGTCTTGCTGGTGGTACCTTGAAATCTCCTTGTACTTTTGCTCTTCCTCTTTGAGACGAGCAATTTCGGTGTTGAGAATCCGCTCCTTTTCTTCCGACTTGCGTGCAATATCAGCCTGCGAATCCCGAAGCATGTTAAGTTCGTGGTTCGATGTGCCGAGTTCGGTTGTAAGAGCCTCGACGCGCTGCTGAAGCTCGGTGACGTTGCTGGTTTTCTCTTCCAGTGCCTTCTCCATTTCAGCATGGTACTGCTCCTGGACATCGCTGAGACTGGTGAGCTCCTCCTCCATATCCTTGCTGAGCTGCTTGAACTGCTCAGCCTGTTGCTTGGCATTCTCAAGCTGCACGTTGAGAAGATCCAGAGCGTTCTTGAGCTCCTGGACCTCATTCTCAAGCTCCTCGATGCGCTCCTGAGCCTGGCTGTCTGCGCCAGACTGGAGAGTCCCGGGCCTAGGTGTAGGAATAGGGCGAAGTCGGTCTGCCCGTTCCTGGGCGTTCCGCACCTCAATTTCGAGCTCACTGACACGAGCCTGCAGATGGTCGCGCGTGGTCTTAACTTGCACGTGTTCCTCCTTGATCTGACTGAGTGTCGTAGTGAGCTCGTCGATCCGCTTCTGGAACTGTTGCGCGTCGAACTCCTTCCGCAACTGGATCTTCTTTCCTTCCTCGGTTTCCTCTGAGAGCTTGCGCTTAGTCGTTGAAAGCTCAGCGTTAAGGGCGTCGATTTGGCCTTGGAGTCGGCGCCTGGTCTCAGATTCGCTGAGTTCGCGTTCGTTGAGGAGGGACTGCTGATTAGAGAGCAAGCTGTTGAGCCTAGTCTTCTCCTGAGAAAGACTCTCGTTGTCCTGGTTGAGTCTCTCCTGGATCGACTTCCACAGGCTCTTCTCCGCCTTGAGATTGGCGTTTTCGCTACGAAGGCTCTCAACCAATCCCCGCGCTTCGACGAGATCCTCGGCGACCTGCTGAGTCCGCAGATCCTGTTTGGCAGCAGACTCTGACAAGATCTGATT